CTGAACTTTTAGAACATAATTGGATGAGTAATTAGTGATTTAGTTTAAAATCATTAATTACTCATCCAATTTATTTTTTTAATAATCTTAAATTTTATAGTAGATGTATTATGTTCTCTAGAATGAAGTTACTTAGTATCATTTTGCATGGTTCATAAACAAAAAAAAGCTTCTTTTATTTGTAGCTATCATCAGCTGAAATGTTATATTAAATTGCATTTGATCTCGAGAATTTTTTTTTATCTCAGTCAATCAAAGCTACATATAAAAGTATTTTTTGCTAATGAATCATAAAAAATGCTACTAATTAATCTTATTCTAGAGAATACAATGCATCTACTGTAAAGTTTGTAATTTTTAAAATACAAATCACAAAAAACTTTTTGAATATAAAACTTCCAATTTGATGAAGAGCAAATACCTTAAGGAATTAAAAAACATCTTTCTTTTTTGTAAAGAGGAATTAATACATGCAGACATCATATCAACTGAGCTGAATCAGAATATAAAATGATATAAAACATTATAAGATGTTTATTTATCAAAAATTGATACATAATAAAAGTAATCTCATTATATACATAATTTCCTATTTTCAATACTATGAATTTTATGAAATAAAGAATGGTCTTCTCGAGTGGATTTGTCTTATGAAATAATAAATAAGATTATTATTATTTTACTTAAATAAAAATAAAATCAAAATTTAATTTTTTTACCATTTCTTTTATGTGAAGAATTGTTGCCTAATCCTCGTCAATCAGAAATGCATCTTTTATTAGATAAAGTTCATAAGGGACATCTACTACCTATAAAACAATTAAGTTTACTATCATTTTATTTAAATCTAATGAAGATTATTTTCATCTTCCCAGGTATATTTTGCTGGTGTAAACTTAATGCTTGTTTAAATTTGTTTCATGTTCACTTTTAAAACTTTTTTCTAATTTATGCAAATAAATAAATCAATGAATAAATTTTAATTAAAAATAAATCTAATACTTTATAAAATATAATATCAAAATGACTGAAGTAAAAGACAACAACAGTACTAACAACCACAACCACCATGACAATAATATCAATTACTGGTTTGTCTTTATGTAGTTTTCTGCACTCCCTTTTGCTAGATAAATAGCAATATTCTTCATTTTATTGGTTGTTCGATTTTTCCCAAAATCATTTCAATTTGACTTTGAAAAGGAGATTTTTTACTGTAAGTATTTTTATATATAAATTTTTTCCTTGATTTTTTTTTTGCCTCAATAAAGACTTTAAAGAATTTCAACCAGTGGTTTCACACCATACTTTGAGAGAGATATTTTTTGATATAACCAATGGTTTTGTTTTCTCTTTCTCTTTATTTTTATATTTAGCTTTCCCAACTGACTCATGGTTTGAGCATGAATAAGTCTTCATCTTCATCTTCACTGTCTAAAATTGCTACATCTTTAGGTTCTGTAACATACGAAAAACTTGGACCTGGCTTAACAATGTCATTAAGGCTTATTTCATTTTCTAGCTCCACTGACTCTCTTAGAGGTCATTTTCTGCTTATATACCGAAGGCACCTTTACTTCTTTTTCTTTTTTAGAGTTTCTTCTTTTCTTTTTGAGCACTATTAACTGTGGGAATAAAATTAATATTTCTCTCGTTTTCTTGAATGCTGTTGTTGTTGTTTTGTTGACCAGGTGTACCTCTGATGCTATATTTATGTTGTTTCATACCCATATGAGTAAGAATATAGTGAAATAACTAAACTTTGTATATGAATAAATTATGTTTATCAACCGGGGTACAAGTGATCGATGGAAAGAGTTACCCTATCCCCTTATTAAATTGATACTATTATGTTGGATCAAATTTTTTATTTTTTGGTTAACTTAATTATTATTTAATTTTAAACTTAAACTATACCTAAATATGTTTTTATTTTTATCTTGTGTTAAATCGTTTGCTTCTAAGATTTAAATTCATAACTTCAAAAGTTAATGCTTGATTTATTCTTACAACAGAAATCGTTTTTTAAAAGTCATTAATCAAAAATTAAAGGTAAAAAATTATCTCAGCGCACTACTGGTAAAACGAATCGATTAGAAAATTTGAAATTATCTAAATGGACATTAATAGTATTTTATCAAAAATAATTTAAAATAAATAACAAGGAAAAAAATAAAAAAAAAAGGAAAATAATAAATAAAATAAAAAATAATTCAACAAATCATGATGATCATTATTAAAACTTACTCACTATCTTTGAATCAATATTGTGAAATAATTACCTTCCCGATTCTTGAAGGTTTGAAGTTAAATTCTATAATTAAAAAAAACAATTACTCTAATGATTTTTTAATAAATAATTTTCATTAAAAAAAAATAAAAGAAATTAACAATATTGCCATACATAAAAGAATTCAACAGATATAAATTTTTGGTCTTTCCGCTTATAATTTTCAATCTTTTTTTAAGACTAATTTCGTTATGATAAGATAATGATAAATTATTTAATTTATCAATGATTTATTTATTTATGCCAAAAAAAATTTGAACAATAAAATTAAAATTATTTGAATGATCTCCAAGTGAATGAGATGATTGTACAATAATATTTATTAAAATTTCAACTCTCGATCTTATTCTCGAACATTACCTTACCTTGTGACATCTCATAATCCAATATAACAATTAATATTTATTGTTTTAAATGAAGTTAATTAAATTTAAACTCCATATTCTCGTTCTCATTCTTCTCTAGATAAACGATAAATGATTTAAAGCATAAATAAATTTATTAAATAAAATCAACTATATATTTCTATTATACAAACTTATATTATTCCAGTTATAACTTAGTGAGCCGATTTTAGCATTTGATAATTAAATATGGTTGATTTTTATAATTTTACTATTGATAATCATTTTTTTTTTTAAAAAAAAATTTTACCTTTATAAAATCATTACTTTGCGTCGTCATACAAATTATATTATAAATTAGAAATTTCTTTTGATGAGAGTCATTCATTTTCAAATTAGTTTATGCTTTTTCATTTTTTATTATTTAAATAATTATATTTAATATGTCACTTACACTTACAATAGAAATTTGCAATCATAGTTATGTGACGGATCAGAATTTGATATAAAGTAGTTTTGTAATTATAGCGATAATTGTATTGTAATAATAAAAAGTTAAATGATTTTATGGTGAAAAAAATCTATAGGCTTAAAAATAACCATCTATGTATTTATTAAAGTATTTTTAATAGATATGAAATGTCGTTATATTTTATAACATACTTTTATAAAAATTAAAAATGGTTATTCTTTGAATATTTCTTAAAAACACTGGTTTTTTATTATTATTTATAATTATAACACTTAAAGTTTTAATCCACAGGTTTACAGTTGATTTGCATAATAGGCACCTGACCCGAAGAAGGACAATAGTTTATATATTATTCAACTTTGTTTATTTTTTATTCGAAAGTTTTACGCATCTATAAAATGTCAATTCTAAACTCTTTATTTCTTTATATAAGTTCATAAATTTTATACCTTTAATGTATATGTATATATATCTTATTTTTTATTTTTATTTTATTTTTTGAAGACTTGGGAAGGTGAACCTTTGTTTTATATATATTTTATTTGTATATTAACAATCTTTTTTATTCTTATTATGTTTTTAATCTAATTACACCTCTTTAACTAGTTCTGTAATTTCGGGTTCATTAAATATTATTTGTGTGAATTCGCGGATCGATCTAAATTATTCTTTTTAGATGTTATTTCTTACCTTATTTATGATATATGGATCTTTAAAAAATTACTTACCTTCTTTGGTATCTTAGATTCATGTAATTATTTTTTTCAAAAAAAATTATTTACCTTCTTTGTGATTTAAGGTTTTTATATTTTATAATTTTTTTTTTGATTTTTCAATAGTTTCATAGTAAAAAAAAAGTTTGAGAGCGATAAACTAAATTGTTTGAATAAACTTAATAATTAATACTAGACATCATTTAATATACAACTTTAAATAATCTTCAAGTTTTTCATCCATAAATTTTTCCTGAGGAACCATTAATTGTTTTCATATTAAGCTTACTGCGAATTTGGAGGTAGATTCTTTATGTCACACGATGTTGGTGGCTTTGTAAGATCAACGGAACGACAAAATACTTAGTGGAATACTATCAAAGTTCAGGGGTTTGCTGTCAAAGACAATTTTTCAACAGTATTAATTCCAAGGCAAGGCATGCAGAAAATTTAACAAAATGATGGCTTCTAAGTAATTAGATAAAGGTTTTGGATTGGCCCACCAATCCCATAGCTAATCCATATGGAATGAAGTAGATCATCATCTCTGAGGACTTATAGATCAAAATTCAAAAGAGATTGATGTCATCAAGGCTCGAGGATGGTAGTGTGTTTTGTATTCAACCTAGTATAGACAAAATAGTTAATAAATATTAATTCGATTATACTGAGTTATTTGTAAGGGAAAAAATGCAACAATACATCAGGAAATTTTTTTTACGCGTAAATCTCCGTAATATTTACGATACCTAGGAAATACAGTATAATATTTATACGGGCCGATTTGCCTTTAAACCGTAATTTATCATCGGATATAGGTGCTAAAAGGATAAAGCACACGTTATCATGTAGCCCGGAATCGAGCTTTCGTTCGGTTATAAGAATATATTGATCAAAAATCTTCACTGTCTTGCAAATCTCGATCGAGGTCAAAAAAAGGAATTCTTTTGACGTAAAAATTCAGAAGAAATTAAAGAAAAAAATTCGCGGTAAAAAATTCCGTAATTTCTCCGGATGCTACTTATTGAAAAAAATTAAATTTCAATTTTTTATTATAAATTTTTTTTCATCTAAAATTTTGAAAAATAAAATTAAAAATAAAAATGTACAAAAAAAAATTTGCTAATTCTAAATCATTTTGCATAGCCGCCACGCCACTGTACGTATTTATTAATAAATATCTATTCTACTCTGACATAATGTTCAATATTAAATACTCTTTCATTCCATTTCCATATTACTACTGTTTTTTTAGTTTACAAAGATCAATCATGAAAAAGAAAAGTTTACTTAATATAAATTATATAAATTAATTATTTCGTTAATTATTATCATTATTTAAAAATTCACGAAAGTGGAATAAGAATATATTGTATTAATTATTACTGTTTTTATTGTTTAAAGAAAATTTGTATTGGAAATAATTATTATTTTAAGAAATAAAAAAAGAAAATATTAAGTGACAGATAGAGATGGTGATGAAACGTAATAAAACTTGATGCACTTGGAGCACCAGTGGTGCACCATTAGATGATCCATCATCTCCAGTGACAGAGAAACGGATGCAATCATCTTGAGATCCACGTTGAAGGACAGGCATAACAACAGGTTGATGACCTTCGGATGCGGCCAACGTACAAAGACGATAAAATCCTGAGGATAAACCAGAAACTTCCGTCTCTAATCCTCCCTTATCATCAGCTGCATCATCCATACCTTTGAAAAACTTATATTCAGATGGATTAGGGATTACATTTCCATTCAATTCTTGAATGGTAACATGAACATGTCCTTTGATAATTCCGTCATCTGTAGTTGTTTGTGATACATCGGTGAAATCAGTATCAGGATCAGCGAAGAAACCAGTTTTTAAGTTGGAAACCTCAATTCTAATTTTGAATTTTTCATTGGCAGCGATTGAAGCACCATTCTCGGGATTCACGATGATAACGGAAACCATTTTTGATTTTGATGGTAAATCACCTAGAATTTGACTGGAACATGATCCGTTTGAGTTTTGTGTTCCAATAGCTGTGACGACTGCTGATTTACACTTCCCAACTGGTTCAGGAGAGTCATATTTATTAGGTGATTCTACCTCAGCTTCAATAAAGTCAAGAGAAAATAAAGCAACGAAAATAATAAGAAGGATAATGATAGATGATTTCATTATCAATAACGACTAAATATTTGTTTTTTCTTATTGGAAACGCTATAGTGAAATTGATTGAGAGAAAGGATAGTGAAGAACAAAAAATGCATTTTTTACATAAACTAATTTATTCTTTTCTTATATTCAGATCAGTTGAACTACCTGTATATGTATTTCATAAAAATCATGGGAAACAATTTTTTTAGATTATCTAAATTTATAATAATAATCGTTTAGTACAATCAAATTGGGACATAAAAATTTGGATAATTATACCATTTAAGGATTTCATAATTACTCTAACTTGATATAAATCAGCTACCCCGGTTTGCTTAAAATAATTTTCACCCTCGTGACTTTTCACGTGAGATCCTTCCCCGATTTGTATTTCACACGCATTCTATGAAGACCTTATACACAACTTTACTATTTTTAAAAAACAAAGAAGTGAATAGATAAGTGAAGGTAACGAAAAAGCAAATTGCATTTTCAACATATCTGAGATTACCTTTTTTATATTTTTCTTACACGTTTATATATTACTTTGCTAATATTAAATTCAATAGTTATAATTAATGTAAATGAAAATACCGTTTAATTCATTTACCATTAATAAAAACTTGTAACACTCAAAATAAAGCAGTACAGTATATCGAAAATCGATGATCTAAATATTGGTGATTTTCATGATTTTCACATGAATTTATTGCTGAAATTTTTGAAAAAAAAACAAATAATAGAGTTTAAATTTTCCTGTACTGTAAATATTACTATTTTAGATGGCAATTCTAAGGAATAAAGCTAACAGAATTTTTAAAATAATTTATGGTACAGATGGATGCAAGTAATTTATATATTATAAATTTAAATTATTGTTCTCAACAACAAGAATGCTAGCTCAGCAACCAAAAAAAAAAAATTTAATATAAAAAAGCAAGATAAAAAATCAATGGAACGATTTTTATGTAAAGGGTGTATTAAAATTATCAGCCATGAAGAATCTAATCATCTAAAATAGAACGTATTCACATTTAAGATTCAGTTCGACCAAATGTCAGTATCACCTGAGATTAAAGATTTTATATCAGATAATGTAGAAAATTTTACAAAATTCACAATTTAAATAAATGAAATTGATGTTGATGCGACAAATTAGCAATTTTTATTTCATTACAGAAATAATATATAATAAATTAAATTTTCTTTTAGATAATACAAATAATCTAAGGTTTGAACTATATGTAGTACATGATAATATTGATGGAATGGGTTTTCAATAGCATTCCTTTTTTTAGAAAATAGTGGAAATGTGGCAATGGAATTCGTATCGCAACTTTATTTGATTTTTTTTTTGGAATTAAAAAACTCGTGGACTTGAACATGAATTCTTTCAACAAACAAAGATTTTGCACAAATCTCAGCTACTGATTTTATTTGAAAAAATATTAAAATACAATTGTGTCTTTGGCATATCAAAAAACAGAGGAAGCGAGATTATCAAACAATAACACTAGTCGAAATGAGGTCTCTCAGCAATCACAAAATTTGGCCAACTTTCGGCTAATTGATTTTTTCCCGCTCGTTTTCAATTTTTTGTTTGGCAGTTTCTGGTAATTCAGCCGCTAATATTTCTTCTCCGTAAAAAAAAAAGATTTCAAAAAAATTTGACCTAAATTCGGCTATCAGTAAAATTCAGCAAAAATTCGAAAATTCCAGATTTTGGCCGAAACTTAAGTTTCGACAAAATTTGGGATTTCTGAATTAGTGCTGAATTTGATACAATATTTTGATTGTTGAATTGTTGCCCAAATGCCCTTTTCAGAAATATGCTATTTCGGCAACAATTCAGTATATCAAGATTTTGTATTAAAATTCAGCCAAAATTCAGAATTTCCGAAATTTATTGATAGCCGAATTTAGGCCGAAATATTACATAATATTTTTGGTCTAAATTCTGCCGAAATTTAGAAATTTAGAATTTGTGCTGAAATTTGATATAATATTTCGATATCCTCCAGCTGTCAATAAATTTTTGAATTTCTGAATTTTGGCTGAATTTATAAACACTGAATTTAGGTCAAAAATATTATATAATATATCGGCTGTTTATAAATTCAGCCAAAATTCGGAAATTCTGAATTTTGGCTAAATTTAATATAATATTTCGATATCCCTCAGCTATCAATAAATTTCTGCCAAAACTTAACTTAAATTTAGCTTTAAGTTTAAACCAAAATATGATATTTTGGCAATAAGTATCAACAATTCTGCTGAAATTTGAAAAATTTTAGCTTATTAATGAAATTCAGCAAATTTCAGAAACGCTGGAAAGTTAAAATCAGCCATATATTTTTTTAAATTCAACCATTTTCTACTATTTAAGCAGAATTTGCACTAAAATTTATTATAAATAAAATTCATCTTAAATCCAGAATACTGAATTTTAGATGAAATTTGTTTTATTTTGTTAAAAAATTTCACTATATACTATAAAAAACGCTTCTAATTAAAATTATGGATATTGTTTCTGGCTACAATTCCATATAAGATAGTTGGTATCTATATTTAAAATCTATCGATTCGGAGCGGACAATGACTAAAGATTAAATTTATCGTTTCTTGTCAATTTTAATTGAAGTATAATTTCTCTATGTGTGGGTATTTAATTTTAACAAAAAATAATATAATATGATAGCCCTGATTTAGGGGAATGTAATTTAGATCACTCGTTGTGGCACAATTAACATTTTAAATTAGTAATTTTTTCAACTGCCCAGTGACTTTTGACCACCCACTGCATAATATTAATTATATTGTACATTAAATATTTGAAAAAGAAAATTAATAAAATTGATGATAAAATAAATAAGAAGAATGAGAATAATAAAAAGGATATTATAATAATAAAATTATTGATACCATAATTCATCGTCTACCAATTTTGAGAAAGTTAATATAAAAATGACGAAAATTTATGCTTTCAATCTGATAGAACTAAAGACGACAACAAGGTATAATAATAAATAAATTTTTAATGTTGAATTTTTTTCAAATTCGTTAATATCAGAGTTGAAACTTATGTTAATGAATCATATTATTTTTATTTGATTTAGAATTCTTATTATATAGACGATTAAGATTAAGATGATAGTAAATCAAACGAATAATATTGGTTTTTAGTAAAGTAGATAATTACATATTCTATTTCTTTACAAAAATGGTAATACTTATCGAATAAACAATATTTGTGTTGATTTCATAGAAGACATTAGTGAAAAGTAATTATATTACATACTTACGCTTTGAATATTTAATATCAAAAAGATAATTTCTTCTTTATTGTTTCGCCACTTTTTTTAAAAATCGATTACTACATACAAGTTCATCATTTTAAAATTTAATAATGAGAGAAAAAAGAATAACAACAAATCACTTGTGCTATATTAATATTAATATGTTTGATATTGATAATTTTATGATTACTAATCATTGTTTTTAAATAATAAATAAGATAAAATTACTTACTGAATATCGAATAGTCTTGCGAAAAAAAGAAAAAATTTTAAACATAACAAATATTGTTTTTATTTATAAAAATAAAGTTTTGATAATTAAATGTTTTTACTATTTTGAAATTTCCGATTAAAAAGGAAAGTTAGTAATTATGTTATCTTTTAAAAAAAGTTAGATTTTGCTAAATATTTCGATATTTCAATCAAAAGTAAATGTTAACATTGGGTGTGTTCATTTTGATTGTGTAAGATCCGAAGTCCGAAAAAATTGCTTTTACATGATAAATTTGCAGATTTTGTGTTGCGTTAAAGAGATAAGATCCATATACTTGAATTTTCATCTAAACGTAAATTTAGATATAAATTTATTTTTTAAAAAAATATACTTCCACTCTACGTACTATAAGTGAATAAAAAATGTCATTTAATATAATATGCCTAGAATGCAATCAAAAATATACTACCTACAAATATTGCAAACTATGTAATTCAAAACGTTTAAAGATAATTTTGATAAATTGACAAGCGGAAATGAAACTATTGATAAAATTATTTAGAATACTCAACCAAATGCAAACAGTGATCGGGAAGCAATAGAATGGATACCTAATGATAGATTTAAATATATTAAACAGATAGCAAGAGGGGATTTGGAACAATAAATTTAGCCGAATGGGCCAATTCAAACATGGAATATTCTACAAAAACAGTATATGGTATTAAAAAGTTTGATGATTTGGCATATTTAAATGAAGAATTCTTGAATGAGTTTAAATATTTATTAATATTGTAAATTTCGTTTCCAAAATATAATATATTAACAATAAATTAAAAATATAATTTATTTAGACGGTTATTCAATTAAAAACAATGAATAAGGGTTCAATTCGGTTCTTAGGAATTACAAAAGATCCAGAAATACACAATATGTGATGGTTTTAAATTATGCTAATGATGTAAATCTTAGAGATTATTTAATAAATAATTTTAATAACTAAATTATTTATATTGTTTATCATATAATTTTCAAAATATTCATGAATTAGACATAATTCAACCTGGAAATATTTTATCATATGATTTTAAATATTATATTAATTTAAGTATTTCAGATTTTGGATTAAGTAAAATAGTTGGACAAAATCCAAATAATCCCGAAAAAAAGAATATATTTTGGTGTATTACCATATGTAGCTCCAGAGGTGTTAGGTGGAGGGAAAGGGGAATATACAAAAGTTGCTGATGTACAGTATTTTCTTTTGGAATAATAGCTTACGAAGTTGTGACAGGCCTTCCCCCATATTATGATATGCCACATAACAAAGATTTAGCCATAAAAATATGTAATAGATTACGACCAAAGATTTCTTTCCACACCAAAATTAATTACTAGAATGATTCCGAGATGTTGGGATGCGAGAGTTATTCATAGAACTACTTTTGAAGAATTATATAATGAATTATCTATCTTGAATATGAAGAAAATAATTATGAAAATAATAACAAAATTACAATTCAAATCAAAAAAACCGAAGAATATTCTACATCAACCAATACAACAATTACAACAATTACAACTCCACTCAATTATCAAAAACATCCACAAGCAATTTATACCAGTCGACTTAAATTTTCAGTCTTCCAAAACCTAAGAACGGAGAAAATTTTGAAAAGGAACTTGATGAATTAACTAAATTTGATAAAAATAAATTAATATAATAAAGTATAAAAAATAAATATAAATAAAAATTTATAAAAGATATAAATTGATATTTACTAGTGCTTAAATCATCCATAGATTTAGCTGATTCAGGAAAGGATTTGGATTTGCCAAATTTTTAAATTCAATATTTTTTTTATTATTTTTTTGATACTGATCAATGAATTAGTATTTATTTTTTATTTACAAAAATCTTAACGCAAGGTGTAGAGTTGAATTCTATATTACATTTGTATGAAATCAATTACCTTAGCTTGTAATTAGGATTTTCTTTTTAATATTTATATAAATTAAATTGCAAAAAAATATGTATATAAATATAACTTTTTTTGAATGAAAAATAAAAAAAAATTTTAAAAAATTAAGAAAATTAATTATTTCCATAAAAGCATAAATACCAGCGTCAATTATTATTTATTATTTTATTAAAATTTTTTTATTTTATAAAGAAATTAAATTTCACATCAAATCAATATAATGATCATTCAATAATCTTCTTATATCATTACATTATTATTGATCAAATATGAATCACCTTTTTTTTTAACTGTTCTTCATCACGACTAATATCAACATATATTAATTATATATTATATATTTCATATAATATTCATTATATTGTATATTAGAATCGAATAAAAATCAAAATAAAGTAAAATAAATTAAAATAAATTAAATAAATTAAAATAAATTCAAATTAATGACAATCAATAATAAATAATAATAAATAATTAAGTAATCAATTTAATACCTTGAAGGAAGAGAATAAGTTCCAAATTTCATCTTTCAATTCACAAAACATTGCTTGATCTAAGTCTAATTTATCATTTATTGGAAAAGAATTTTCTTTTCCTATGGTAAATAATAATAATAATGATAATAATAATAAATAAATAAATAAATAAGAATAATAATAAGAATAAGAATAAGGAGAATAAAAGCTAATAAAATCATTCATACAATAATAAAGTTTATTTAAAATGAATCCTTACGCTTTTCAATCAATTTGTTATAACTAAGAATAATAGTATATTTATACAAAATACAATTAATAATAATCCTCACTTTTCCGCAAATTCCAATTCTGATGATGATAATCGATTCTTTGATTCTGTGTTTCTAGAATAAAAATACATATTTTTTCTATCTAGAATTATTTAATATATTATAACATGACATATTAAAAAAAATTTAAAAATAAAATTAAAAATTAAAAATCGAAAAATAATCTGAAAGGAAAAGCAAGGGAAGTAAAAAAAAAAAAATACCTAAATAATCTGGTTCGAATATATCGATTGATGCTATCCTCTACACATTCATTATAACATGGCATAGAATTTTGATGATAGTATTAAGGATTCAGCTTTGGTAGCCTGTGTTCAATATATAATGAATATTATATTGGAATTCGTGGGTTTGTTGCGCGAGAGATAATAATTTTTACGCGAATAAATAAATTGTTAGTTTACTTTAATGTCGCGTTGGAAATAATTTAAAAAATTATATATTGAAATAAAACATACATAAAACATAGACAACAAGATATATAATATAATGAAATATATTGTAACAGCCTGATCTTCACCAAGTTCTGTTTGATTTTTTTTTTAATTTTCCACTTCGGTCTCTATTACGGAGAAATCCGTAAATTTTATTAATATTATTACTAATCGTCGTCAAAAAATTCTTTTGCCAAATCAACTATTCAAGCTCTAAACTCTGTCTTGGAATTTATAATTTTAGGTGTTTGCAGTTTTATAAAATTGCAAATATATCATATTTTTTTTTTTGTAATTCCCAATGATTTAAAAAAATCTCTTTATTAGATAAAATACAAACTTTACAAACTGAATCGTTGAAATTCGGAAAAATAATGTTTGAATCCTCTTTTTTCAATTAAAGAAAGTAATAAATATTTCAAGGAAAGATTTATTTATTGAGAAAATCAATCATGAATTTATTTATTATTTTATTTATTATTAAAGAATTCTCGAAAAAAAAAATTGAACTAAAAAAATTCAATTATCATAAAAACTAAATTGTTGGTTATCGACAAGGTATTTCATTAACAGAAGATCGTGGGAATAATTTTTTAGATTATCTATTGGTCTAGGCTCAGTTAGAATTTTTATTTCTATATTTAGAAAATAAAGTCAAAAAGTCAGTTGTATTTTACGCCCATTTTCTCAAATCGCTATTTATTTATAAAATTGAGTATCGTACAAAATAATTTTCATCCAAACTTACTAATTATTTTTTTTTTTAAAAATAAATAAATAAATTTCTTCTTTACATTCTGAAGTTAATTAAAAATGTTACCTGATAAAATGTACCCAGAATGCAATCAAGAATATACTGACTACAAATGGTGCAAACCGTGTAACTCTAAACATTTCGAAGATAATTTTGATAAATGGACAAGCGGAAATGAAATAATAGATAAAATTATTCAAAATGCTCAATTAAATGCAGATAGTTGTGAGCAAGTAATAGAATGGATACCTTATGAAAGATTAAAATATATTAAACAGATAGCAAGAGGGGGATTCGGAACAATACATTTAGCTAAATGGTTTGACGGACCAATTGAACAATGGAATATTGAAAATCAACAATGGGAAAAGTCTGGTCAACATAATGTGGTCTTAAAAAAGGTTGCTAATTTTGCAGATTTTAATGAAGAATTCATAAATGAGGTAAAATATTTTATTGATATTGTAAATCTTGTTTCCAAATTATATAAATTATATATTATATTGACTATAAATTAAAAAATAAATATGTTATAGATGGTCGTTCACTTAAAAACAAAGAATATTGGTTCAATTCGATTTTTTGGAATTACACAAGATCCAGAAACACACAAATATATAATGGTTATAAATTACGCTTTTGGTGGAAATCTTCGAGATCATTTAAAAAATAATTATAATGATATAAATTGGGAAAATAAATTATTTTATTTATGTAATTTAGCAGAAAAATTTCAAAATATTCATGATTTAAATATAACTCATCAGAATTTTCATCCTGGGAATATTTTAGCTAATAATTTTAAAGATTATTATTTATTTATTTCGGATTTTGGTTTAAGTAAAATAGTTGGACAAAATCCAAGTAATCCCGAAAAAAAGAATATTTTTGGAGTAATACCGTATGTCGCTCCAGAGGTGTTAGGTGGAGAGGAATATACAAAAGCTGCTGATGTATATTCTTTTGGAATAATAGCTTACGAAATTGTGACAGGTCTTCCTCCATATTATGATATGCCACATGACATGGATTTGGCCATGAAAATATGTAATGGATTACGATCAAAGATTCCATTCCACACTCCAAAATTAATTACAAGTATGATTATGCGCTGTTGGGATGCTAGAGTTACTTATAGACCTACTTTTAAAGAATTATATAATGAATTATCTGAATACTATTCTAATTATGAGGAGAATGATTTTAAAAATAATAATATAATTACAATTCAAATCAAAAAATCTGAAGAATTTTCTACATCAACCAGAACAATAACTACAACTTCATTCAATTATCGAACACATCCACAGGCAATTTATACCAGTCGACTTCTTAATTTTTCAAGTCTTCCCAAACCCAAGAACGAAGAAAATTTTGAAAAAGAACTCGAAGAATTAACTAAATCTATGAACGATTTAAGCACTAGTAAGTTATCAATTATATTTTAATAATTTTTGAATTATATTTATATTTATACTTAATTATATTTTATTAATTTATTTTTTTTTGATCTGATTTAGCTGATTCCGAAATGATGGATTTGAATTAAATTCGATATTTTAACTATTATTATTTTTTAAAAATTATCTTGATATTAGTATTTGTTTCAATTACAAAATCTTTACACAAGGTATAGAGTATGAATTCTCCATCACATTTGTATGAATTTAATTACTTTAATTTGTAATTAGGATTTTTCTTTTTAATTATGTATATTATTTACCTTAAAATAAATAAAAAAATTAATCCAATAGAAACATAAATATCAACGTCTATTATTGTTTGTTATAAATCAATATAATCATCATTCAGTAATCTTCTTATATCATATGAATTACCTTTTTTTAACTATTCTTCTTCTTCAGGACAATATCATATCAACATATATTCCATATAATATTAATTATGTTATATATTATACATTTAAAAAAGTAAAACTGAAATGAATTTAACTGAATTGGATAAAAATTAAAATAAATTAAAAATAAATCGCTATAAATCAAATAAATAATAATAAATGATAAATAATTAATAATAATAAATCAAATAATTAATTAATTTAATACTTTGAAGGAAAAGAATGAGTTCCTAAATAATCTTTCAATTTCCGGATAATAATTTTTATTTGACCATGCTCTTGGATTTTTCACATTGTTCTCTATTACTGAAAAATCCATTAATTAATTATCTCCTATTCTATTAACATTTTATTAAAACCATTATTATTATTAATGTTGTTAAGACTATACTATTAAGAGCATTACTATCAAAATTATTACCATTATCTACTATATCTACATCTACATCATCGTGTCAAAAAATCCTTTAATCTTGTTGTGGTATTTTCTCCATGTCGAAAAAAAATATGTAAGATATTTTTAAAAATATGTATTCACATAATAATATTTATTAATAAATTTTTCATTAATCTCAGTATAGAATAATTAAAATTAAATGATTAAGGAAATAAATTGGGTTAACAATGAAAATCTGACGAACCTAATCTAATTTAATCACTCTTCTGTTCTTTGTGTGTGCTAATAATTACCTAAGTCCTGTTTCTTTGTTTTTTTTTATTAAGGAATAACTTGCAAATTCATTACAAATTCGATGAGAACTTTTGATGTACAGTTCTAAAGATCCTCGAGCTCTTACCAAACGACACAATTAGAATTTATTATATTCTTACTTACTGTTGATGGATATCAATTGATATATAATCATAATTAATAATAATTAGGATAATGATAGAAGAACAATAAAACAAGATGACAACAAGTAACCATCAATCATCATAATCACTATCATCATCATCACCATCATCATCACCATCATATGTCAAATTTCCTCAACTCCTCCACCAACATCTTTCTATTAACATTCTGAACATCGTTTTATGGTTTATTAACTCATTGAACGTAATTTCACAATGAAATTTGATGCGATACCACCAGTTGAAAATGATAATGTGTAGTAAGAATAACAGAAGCATAGAATCATTAGGTAATGTATATGGACTCTATAATTAAGAAAGAAAATTATCAAACATGAAGAAGAAACACATAATACACATGATTATATTTGCTTCACATACCTGCGGTTCACCCCAACCAAGATTCTATTAACATGGTGCCAACTGTCTGTCAACTTGAAAAATAATTTCAACTTCACTTTCATCTAATTAACAATTTTTATCTCTTTATCGTAAACAAGACTTGGAGACATTATTTCAATAAGATTCATGAGTCACATGTAATTTTTTCAAAAAACTTGTGATAACACCTGGGAATGATTAAAGGTAGGATATATAACATGTTAATATGTAGGTACGCTTTTGTTCAGTAGAAACATTTCATTCCAGTAGTCACAGTTTTAATATAAAATTCTTGGGTATTTTTACTGCCTCTTTTGTTGATTTTTTCGTAAAATTGAGATTTATGTGCAATAAATTTTAAAAGAATTTATGTTTAGACTATGGGCCGAATTTAAAACATATGATTTAAAAGAAAAAAGAATGACATTCGACACTTAGATAGGTACACTTGAACAAAGGAATTTTTATTATTTATTACATTTTTTATATAAAATATCAATTTTATAATTTTTTTGTGTTTTTAAATCAAAAAAAAAAAGCTTCCAGATTTGATCGCCGCAAATTTATTATTAGTTGAATCACCAAACAAGTTTTAGAAAACTAGTACAAAAAAAAAATTTGAATATAAAACTTCCTATTAGACGAAGAGCGGACGCCTTAAGGAATTAAAAAACCTCATTCTTTTTCGTAAAGAGGAATATCCACTGAATTAGAATATAAATGGTATAAAACTAACAATATATTTTTATTTTGGGAATTACCTCACGAGATTTTATTATTGATGCTCCAATCCAAATCCATTACCGTATGCTCCGATCCGAAGTCCGAGAATTGCCTTTACACCTTATTATCCTGATAAATTTGTAGAAACAAAAATCTGTATACTATAAGTGAATAAAATGTCATCCTATAAAGTATGCTCAGAATGCAATCAAGAATATACTTACTTCGAATGGTGCAAACCATGCAACTCGAAACATTTCAGAGATAATTTTGATAAATGGACAAGTGGAAATGAAACAATAGTAAAATCATTTAAAATTCTCAATTATATGCAGATAATCGTTCAGAAGTAATAGAATCGATACTTTATGATAGATTAAAATATATTAAACAAATAGCAAGAGGGGGATTCGGAACAATACATTTGGCTGAATGGTTTGATGTATGGAATATTGTAAATCGACAATTGGAAAGATACAGCAAACGTGAAGTGATATTAAAAAAGTTTAATAATTTTGTAAATTTAAACGAAGATTTCTTATATGAAGTAAAAAATTTATTACACTGTAAATTGTTTTCCAAATTATATAACATATTAACTATAAATTAAAAAATATTTATGTTATTTAGATGGTCATTCACTTAAGAATAAAGAATTTTGGTTCAATTCAATGTTTCGGAATCACACAAGATCCAGAGCACGCAAATTTAGATTATGCTAATGGTGGAAATCTTAGAAATTATTTAAAATATAATTCTGATAATATAGATTGGAAAAATAAATTAAATTATTTAAATGATTTAGCATTTAAATTTCTCCAATTTTAAGGTCATTAATAAAACTAACTAAAACAAAATAATAGCTAATAGACTAATAACTAACTAACTAACTATCCTTATTCACAAAGAAGAATAAATTCACTAAGGAGAAATTTACAAAGATCACCAAGCTAAGTAAATATTATCACAAGGACAAGTGCTCAGAACACAAAGCAGAGCTTGAAAAAATATCTATTCTGATTATGAAGCAGAATAATAATCATGAAGAATATATGCCTAGATCACAAAGCATAGCAATTACAAAGAGGTTTTTCACTAAGAAGTCACAAAGAGTTTTAAATTATTGTTTGTCACAAAGACTTTATTAAAAATTTATTATAATTATTGAGTTGTATTGAACTAAAGTTATGAACTTTAATCAATGAACTGAAAATTGAGCTCCATTGAACTACTAAAAAGGTTGAGAAAAACCCAGCCTTTATATTCATTATTTTCTTTTACAATTATTGTTTGTATTCTTGCTTGTACCTTTGCTACAATCTTTGCTACTATCTTTGCTAACTATCTTTGCCCGTACTACAGATTTATAAGATGGAATTTTATAGAAAATTCTAGCAGAAAATATATGAGAATAAAAAAAAATAGGCAACAATAATATTAAGGGTTTGCTTTGGTAATATATTATGAATATAACATACTGTAATATGGATATGGATATTATGTCGTGAGTTTGCTTGCATATGTGTTATGTGCAAGAGATCATAATTATTACGCGAAATCAATAAATAAATATATTGATTTGTTTACATTAATTTTGCGCAATAGAAATAATAATTTATTGAAATGAAAATATATATAATAAAAAATATAGATATACACATATATATAAATACAATGAAATATATTATAACAACCTGATCTTCAACTAAAGAATTTAATCTCTCAAGAGCAGGTTCATAAGGTAAGTTTCCAGAGAATAATTTTCATTTAATCAAGCCCTTTTTGATTTTTTTAATTTTTCCACATCGTCTATTATTGAAAAATCCATCAAATTATTATTTCCCATTCTATTAACGTTAATGTAGTTAATGATAATAATATAAATCTATATTTAAGTCATCGTCGTCGAAAGTTCTTTGGTAAATTGAAGTGCCTCGTCTTCTAATCCTGTTGTGGTATTTTATCATGTCGAAAAAAAATCCGCAAGGCATTTTTAAGAATAAGAATAATGACATGGAAAAGAAGAACTGGCGAACGTCACTATTGTAAACATGAAATGCTAAAGAATGTTAAAGTAGCACAAATATTGGGTGTGTTCGCATTCAGGTATTTTGATTAGGTAAGATCAAGATCCGAAATCCGAGGAAATTGCCTTTTACATCTTATTATTCTGATAAATTTGTATAAATTAGGTTTATATGTGTTGTGTTAAAAAGATAAAATCCATATACAGTACTTGAATTTTCATCTAAACGTAAATTTAGTTACAAATTTATTTTTAAAAAATAAACTTCCACTTTGCATACTATAAGTGAATAAAATGTCATCTGATAAATTATGCCTAGAATGCAATCAAAAATATACTAGCTACAAATGGTGCAAACCATGCAACACGAAACATTTCAAAGATAATTTTGATAAATGGGCAAGTGGAAATGAAACAATAGATAAAATTATTCAATATGCTCAATTAAATGCAGATAGTTGTGAGCAAGTAATAGAATGGATACCTTATGAAAGATTAAAATATATTGAACAGATAGCAAGAGGGGGATTCGGAACAATACATTTAGCCGAATGGTTTGATGGACCAATTCAAAAATGGAGTATTGAAAATCAACAATGGATAAGAAACCGTAATCATGAAGTGGTATTAAAAAAGTTTGATGATTTTGCACATTTAAATGAAAAATTCTTGAATGAGGTAAAATAATTATTAATATTGTAAATTTGGTTTCCGAATTTCATAATATATTAACCATAATATGTTTAGATGGTCATTCACTTAAAAACATCGAATAAATCTGTTTCAGTGAAATTTTATGGAATTACACAAGATCCAGAAACGCATAAATATATAATGGTTTTACAATATGCTGATGATGGAAATTTTAGAGATTATTTAAAAAATAATTTCAATAATATAAATTGGGAAAATAAATTGAATTATTTGTATTGTCTATCTTTTCTTTTTCGAGATGTTCATGAATTGGACATAATTCACCAGGATTTTCATCCTGGAAATATTTTAGCATATAATTTTAAAGATTATTATTTATTTATTTCAGATTTTGGATTAAGTAAAATAGTTGGACAAAATCCAAATAATCCCGAAAAAAAGAATATTTTTGGAGTATTACCATATGTAGCTCCAGAGGTGTTAGGTGGAGAGGAATATACAAAAGCTGCTGATGTATATTCTTTTGGAATAATAGCTTATGAAATAGTGACAGGCCTTCCCCCATATTATGATATTCCACATAACAAAGATTTAGCCATGAAAATATGCAATGGATTACGACCAAAAATTCCAATCCACATCCCAAAATTAATTACCAGAATGATTATGAGATGTTGGGATGCTAGAGTTACTCATAGACCTACTTTCGAAGAATTAAATGCAGAGATATTTAAATACTGGAATGATTATAATGAAAATAATTATGAAAATAATAACAAAATTACAATTCAAATCAAAAAAGCCGAAGAATATTCTACATCAACCAATACAACAAATACAACAATTACAACACCACTCAATTATCAAACACATCCACAAGCAATTTATACCAGTCGACTTCTTAATTTTTCAAGTCTTCCAAAACCTAAGAACGAAGAAAATTTTGAAAATGAACTTGAAGAATTAAATAAATCTATGGATGATTTAAACACTAGTAAATATCAATTATATTTTATTTTAAAATATTATTATGTTATATTTATTTCTTATACTTAATTATTTTATATTAATTTATTATTAATATTTTTTTATCTTATTTAGCTGATTCCGGAATGATGGATTTGAATATGTCTAATTTTTAAATTCGATATTTTATTATTATTTTTTAATACTAATTAATGAATTAGTAATTATTTTTATTTATAAAAATCTTAACCCTAGGTGTAGAGTATGAATTCTTTATCACATTTGTATGAATTCAATTACCTTAGTTTGTAATTAGGATTTTTTTTCTTTTTAATATTTATATAAATTAAATTAACTTATTATTGAAGATAATCCTTGCACAAACATATATAAATATATATATAAATATAACTTTTTTTGAATGAAAAATAAATAATAAAAAATTAAGAAAATTAACTATTTCCATAAAAACATAAATATCAATGTCATGTCTATTATTATTTAATATTTTATTAAGTTTATTTTTATTTTTTTATTTTACAAAGAAATTAAATTTCACATTAAAATCAAAATAACCATCATTCAATAATCTTCTTGATCAAATATGAATCACCTTTTTTAATTATCAAGACTAATATCAACATCTATTATAATATATTTCATATAATATTAATTATATTGTATATTAGAATTGGATAAAAATCGAAATAAATTAAAATAAATTAAAATAAATGATGATCAATAATAAATAATAATAAATAATTAATTAATTATTTAATCAATTTTAATACCTTGAAGGAAGAGAATAAGTTCCAAAATCATCTTTCAATTTACAAAATATCACTTGATCTAAATCTGATTTATCATTTATTGCAAAAGAATTTTCTTTTCCTATGGTAAATAATAATGATAATGATCATAGTAAATAAATAAATAAAATAAGAATTATAATATTAAATAAGAATAGAAGAATAAAAAATAATAAAATTATTCATACCGTAATTCATCGTCTTCAATATATTTACCGAATTTTGAGAAAGTTTATGTAAAATGACGAATCCTTCAATTTGATATAACTAATAATAATAATAATATGTTTATACAACATACAATTAATAATAATCCTCACTTTTCCGCAAATTCTAATTCTGATGACGATAATAGAATTCATTAATTCTATGTATTTCTAGAATAAAAGATACATATTTTTTCGATCTAGAATCATTTAATATAATATAACATAATATATTAAAAAAAAAATAAAATAAAATTAAAATTAAAAAATTTAAAGTAAGGGAGGTAAAAATACCTTAAATAATCTGGTTTGAATATCGATTGATAATAATATACTTTACACGTTCATTATCATTAAATAATAACACGACGATAGAACATGTATCCATTGATGATAGTATTGAAGATTCAGCCTTGGTAACCTGTATTGAATATATTATGAATATTATATTGGTTATTGTGATATTATGTCGTAGGCGTGCGCGTATATGTTGTGCGCGAGGGATAATAATTATTAAACGAAATCAATAAATAATTAATTAATTAGTTAGTTTACATTTTACGCGTTGGAAATAATTTAAAAATTATAAAAAATTATAGATTGAAATGAAAATAACCATAAAATAAATTCAACAAAATATCTAAAAAAAATATATTAAAACAACCTGATCTTCAACCAAAGAATTAAATTTCTCAAGAGCAGGTTCATAAGGTAAATTTCCGTATAACGATTTCATTTAACCAAGCTCTTTTTAATTTCTATCTTTATTACTGAAAAATCCGTAAATTTATTTTTATTCTATTAACATTAACATTATTATTTTATTATTATTAAGACTATTATTATTATTATTATTATTATGGTTGTTAAGATTATTATTAACAATATTATTGATTTATTATTATTTCAACTACTAATCATCATCTAAATATATATCCAATTCATCATCGTCAAAAAATTCTTTGGTAAATTGTTGTGGTATTTTCATAATGACGAAAAAATACGCGAAACAATATTTTTTCAAAAAAGAAAAATAATAATAATAATAATACGAAGATGAACAGAAACCAAAAATGCACAGATTCAATTTAATTTATTTTATCAGCCAATAAAAATAGAGTAGCACCAATGGATAATAATAATAAGATATATCTTTTATTATTATTATTATATTTTATTATAGCTATAAATATTTTATATTTTTATTATGATTATTATTGGGGTTGTTCTCGTTGTTCCTCTTCTTCAGCAGTAGCAGTAGTAGTAGTAGTAGTAGCGGTAGCATCCAAACCAAGTAATTCATTCTTCTTTTGAGCTTGACGAGTAACCCGACGTTCACGAGCTAATTTGGCTTTTTGACGATGAGCCTCGGCTTGATCACTAATAAGAAAATATTTGAAATTAAATTTTTATGAAATTTTAGAATTTTCGTCAAATAAAAAAAAATTAAATTAAATTAAAATTAAAAAATGAATAAATGAAATAAAATGAATGAATTAATGAATGAATTGACTTGAGAGAATGGATACTTACGCGAGTAACTTGGTACGAGTCTTTTCAGCTTTAGCCTTATGAATATATTCCATCAATACACGTTTATTCTTAAAGACGTTACCTTTAGACTTCATGTATAATTGATGATATCTATTTTATTATTTTAAAAATAATTAAAAAATAATTAAAAAAAAATAATTGAGGTAATAATAATTAAAGAATTGCGGATTGGTGACTATTATTTATTCATATGTAGTTTTACAACACCATATATATATATATTTTATAATAATTTAGTCTGCATTGATTCATCAGGATTGTTAAAATTAATTGACACTTACAAATGCTTATCAATTTTACCCGATTCTCGATACTTTCTCAACAATCTTCTCAAAACTCTTTGCCTTCTCATCCATAATACTGCACTTGGCATACGAGCATTTGAGGTACCTTTTCTTTTACCAGGTCCGGTGTGACGACCTTTACGTTTAGCCGCTAATTTTTCTCTCACTCTAAATCGAGAATGAATTGTTTGTGGTTTCTTTATGATTAAACCATCTTTTATTAATTTGCGAATATTTTGACCTAATAATTAATTAATTAATTAATTAATTAATTAATCAATTAATAATTTATTTATTATTATCGTTAGAGAATAAATTTTATCATCAAAAAAAAAAAAAAAAGAGAAAACCAAGAAAATAATTCTTTCTCGGAAATTTTATTAATATCCCAAAAAAATAAAAATACTTACGAGAATTCGCATTAGAAATTTCGTTCACTTCATTGGGATCAAGCCAAACTTTTCTTTTACCACAGCCAAGTACGCTGGATGCTAGTCTCTTCTGACTTCTCAAATTCACCCTTTTTATGTTATTTTTATTTTTTTAAATTATTATTGTTATTATTGCATCTAATAAATTTCATATATATTTGATGTATTTGATGTATTTGATCCCATATAAATATACAAGGTTCACACTGAAATATTTAATTGATTTATAATGAATTTTAACCATATGAGACTTACATTATTTCGGGAAATAGAGAAATATGTCAGATTAAAAATAAAGGGAAAGATCAATTATTTCTTATTCACTGATTTTTTATATATATTTTTTTTCCATTGGGCAAAAAAAAAAAAAATTAAAGTATAAAGTCACATGAGAAGCACCTGATACAATAATTGAGATGAAATCAGTATAATATTTATATCTTTAATATATCACATATCAACTCCTCAAAAAGATAAGAAAAGATGGATAATTCAAATTCTAATAAATCTAATACTTCACAAAATCAAGATATCGAAATGACCGAAGCAAACAACAACAACAGTATCAACCACCATCACCACCATCACCACCACCACCACCATAACAATACTATCAACAACAATAATAATTTTAGTGGTTCGTCTCCTTTATCTTCAATTTCGGAAAATTCTAGTAGTGACGATGATGAACGAGAAGCTAAAACTCCTTCAGGTTCTCCTTCAGATAAAACGCAGCCAATACCGCCACCGCCGGTAGCAGGACCACCAGCAGCGGAAACAGAAATAACGACAGCAGTAACAACGATAACTGCTGATAACGATTATAATAATAATAATAATAATAATAATAATAATATTAATAATAATATTAACATTGATAATAGTTATAGTAATAGTAATAGTAATAGTACAAGTTATAATAGTAGTTATAATAATGACGAAGAATTTAATATGGTTTCCCCACAAGATTCACCATATTTAGTTAAAACCCCTCTTACACAGATTGTATATAAATTACCTGTTACCGAGTATCCGTAAGTAAAAGAAGAAAAAAAGAAAACCAAATTTATTTATTTATTTGAAAATAATCGCTTGATAGATATTTATTTATTTCTATTTTTCGCTAGTAATCATAAATTTATTGGATGCTCAGATATAATCGATTATGAAATTCATAACAAACTTGGGGAAGGAACATTTGGGTATGAATTTAATAAATTTTATTATTTCTTCTTTAATTTTTCCTTTTTTTTTTCAAACTTAAAAATTTCTTTTATTAGGAAAATTAGTAATAAAAATATTATTTATGAGATTAATTATATATAAATTATTTATCATCACATCATCATCATCATCGTAATCATCATCATCATCATAATCATCATTAAATTTTAGCGAAGTTCACAAAGGAATTCACAAAAAAACAAATAAAGTAGTTGCATTAAAACGAATCTTAATGCATAATGAAAAAGAAGGAATTCCCATAACCGCAATTAGAGAAATCAAAATATTAAAAATGCTTAGTCACACGAATGTGATTAATTTAATCGATATGGCGATTGGAGTTGGTAGATATCTTTATATACATTTTATTATTATTATATTATTTTAGTCTATTTTCTTTACATCATCTCATCATTCCATAATAATAACTTTATATTTTTTATTTTTTATTTATTATTAAAATAGACGAATCCAATTCCAACACTGATGCAAATAACGAAGCCCAACCATCCATTTATATGATATTTCCTTACATGGATCATGATCTAGCGGGATTATTAGAAAATCCAAAAGTTAAATTTACAGAAGCACAAATAAAATGGTACATGAAGCAATTACTTGAAGGTACTTTTTACCTTCATCAACATAAAATTTTACATCGTGATTTAAAAGGTATTAAAATTATTATTATTTTATTATTATTATTATTGTTATTATTATTTATTATAGATATATATTATTTTAAAATATTAAATAATTTATTATATTAAAAATATTAATTAATTTATTTATTTATATTAGATTAATGTATTAATTGTTTATTTATTTATTTTTTTTAATTAGCCGCAAATTTATTAATAGATAATAAAGGAGTTCTTAAAATTGGGGATTTTGGACTTTCCCGTCCATTACAAGAAAAATCACTTACTGGGTGTGTGGTAACCCGGTGGTATCGCGCACCCGAATTATTATTAAAAGAAAGGAGATATGATACGGCTATCGATATGTGGGCGATTGGATGTGTATTTGGAGAAATGCTAAAAGGAAGTCCTATTCTTCGAGGAAGATCCGATCAAGATCAATTGGATCTTATATTTAAATTATGTGGAACTCCCACCGAAGAAGATTGGCCAGGTTGGACATCCATTACTAATGATGTTCAAGTTGTACCGAATAATTATAAAAGAAAAGTAAAAGAGGAATTTGCTTTGATTGGGTAATTAATTAATTTATTTATACATATTAATTTTTATAATAAATAATTACTATTAATAATATAAATAATATAAATCATTTTAATTTGAAAATAATTAAATAATTTTAATAATTTAATTTAATTTAATTTTTTTAATTTTAAATAATTTATTATAAATAAAATAGGTGCGGTGAACAAACACAAGATCTACTAGACAAATTATTAGTTTGTAATCCACAAAATCGAGCAACTGCTTTTGCAGCCTTGGACCATGATTATTTCTTTACCGAACCTTTACCGGCTGATCCAAAGGAGTAATTTTTTTTTTTTTTTTTTTGATAAATAATAATATAATCGTAAAAAATAATTAAACCACTTTTTTAAAATCATTTTTATTTTTTTGTAATTTAGCCTTCCGGAATATGAAGCTAGTCATGAATATACCCGACGAAAACCAAAGAATGAGCTACCACCTCCTGAGCCAGCACCAGAAGCTATTCAAAATCATGACAACAACAACAATAATAACAGCAATAACAACAATAACAATAACAATCATAATAACAATCATAATAATAATAACAATAACAATAACAACAACAATAATAATAATAATACACGGCGACATAGAAGGAACAATAATAACAATAATCATTATCATCATAATAATAATAATAATAGGAAACGGAGATCACCCGATAGAGACAATAATAATAATAACAATAATAATAATAATAGTTCATCATCACAAACTTCAAAAAAATCAAGAACCGATAATACTCAAAATAATCATAATAATAGTAGTAATAATAATAGACGGTGATATTAATGTTTATATTGTTGATTTCTTTTTTTTTTATTTTTATTGTTTGTAATTTAAAAAAAATTGTTTGTTTTTTTACGAGATAAAATCAATAAAAATCAATAAAATCAATAAAATCAATAAAATCAATAAAAATCAATAAAATCGATAAAATTGATAAAAATTAAATTAATAAATTGAATTTGCGCGAATCGATAATAATTATTGTAAATACGATTTCCCTTTACTAATATTTATAAAATCTCAATTATAAACTAAGCTAATTGAATTCATACAAATGCGATAAAGAAAGACTCTAATACCTGGTGTTAAGATTTTTGTAAATGCAAATAAATATATAGAAAAAAATAATAAAAATAAAAATATAAAATAAATAAAATTTTAAAATTAATAATTAGACATATTCAAATCCATCATTCCGGAATCAGCTAAATAAGATAAAAAAAAAATAAATAAATATAATATAATTAAGTACAAAAAATAAATATAACATAAAAATTTATAAAAAATATAATTGATATTTACTAGTACTTAAATCATCCATAGATTTGGTTAATTCTTCAAGTTCTTTTTCAAAATTTTCTTTGTTCTTAGGTTTGGGAAGACTTGAAAAATTAAGAAGTCGACTGGTATAAATTGCTTGTGGATGTGTTTGATAATTGAGTGGTGTTGTAATTGTTGTATTGGTTGATGTAGAAAATTCTTCAAATTTTTTGATTTGAATTGTAATTATATTATTATTTTTAAAATCATTCTCCTCATAATTAGGATGGTATTCAGATAATTCATTAAATAATTCTTTGAAAGTAGGTCTATGAGTAACTCTAGCATCCCAACATCTCATAATCATTCGGGTAATTAATTTTGGAGTGTGGAATGGAATTTTAGGTCGTAATCCATTACATATTTTTATAGCTAGATCTTTGTCATGTGGGATATCATAATATGGGGGAAGACCTGTCACTATTTCGTAAGCTATTATTCCAAAAGAAAATACATCAGCAACTTTTGTATATTCCTCTCCACCTAACACCTCTGGAGCTACATATGGTAATACTCCAAAAATATTCTTTTTTTCAGGATTATTTGGATTTTGTCCAACTATTTTACTTAAACCAAAATCCGAAATACGTGTAAAAATTGCTTCATTAAAATTAAATGATAAAATATTTCCAGGATGGAAATCCTGGTGAATTATGTCTAATTCATGAATATTTTGAAAATCAAGTGATAAATAATACAAATATTTTAATTTCATTATCCAATTTATATTATTGAAATTATTTTTTAAATAATCTCTAAGATTTCCATCATTAGAATAACTTAAAACCATTATATATCTGCGTGTTTTTGGATCTTGAGTAATTCCGTAAAATCTAATTGAATTATTCATTGCTTTTAAGTGTATAACCATCTAAACATATATATTATGGTCAATATATTATGAAATTCGGAAACCAAATTTAATAATATTAATAATTATTTTACCTCATTCAAGAATTCTTCATTTAAATATGCAAAATTATCAAACTTTTTTAATACAACATGTATTTGGTCGAATCTTTTCCATTGTTGATTTTCAATATCCCATTGCATAATTGGTCCATCAAACCGTTCAGCTAAATGTATTGTTCCGAACCCCCCTTTTGCAATTTGTTTAATATATTTTAATCTATTATAAGGTATCCATTCTATTACCCTCCAAGAACCGACTGCATCTAATTGAGCATATTGAATAATTTTATCCATTGTTTCATTTCCACTTGTCCATTTATCAAAATTATCTTTGAAATGTTTAGAGTTACACGGTTTGCACCATTTGTAGGCAGTATATTCTTGATTGCATTCTGGGCATATTATATCAGATGACATTTTTATTCACTTTTTGAAAAATAAATTTGTTGTATCTATGATTTTTACCTCTATAAAATTGGGTAACCGAATATGATATAAAAGGCAATGTCCTCGGACTTCGGAGATACGTATTTTGTGTTTTGTAATACAGAATTTAAAATAAATAGGTGTAACCCGCCTCATCGCTGACGATCACAATCATTGGATTTTAAATAAAATAGTATATGTCCAACTTCGCGCATTCCATTCTACAATTCCATTAAAAGTTTATTAAAAAAGGTTACCCAGCTAACAAAAAGAACTTATATGGAACTTAAAAATCAAACTTATGGCGGAATTTTATGATCATAATAATATCAAGTTTTCAATCATTTTATGATCATAATAATATCAAGTTTTCAATCATTTTAGTTATCATTCTCGTATTCTAATTATTGTACAATGAATAATATAATCTAGTATCTCCATTATATGCGTCTTTAGATCGAAAGGATCAAGATAATTACAAAAAGGATTTTAAACATACTCAAAACTAAATGATGCTAAGCATAAACAGCACAAGTTTTTTTTCATTCCATTATTTGATTGACCACATGCAAATTGAGAAATTTGAATGGTATTCTCTAAGCCATAACAAAATACAAAATACAAAATACAAACGATTTAAACTACAAGCAACATTCTAACGAATCTAACATTATAAGCTTCACGTCCCGGTATATAATTTTTGGTCAAGAACCAATCAATATTCAGAATTATTCGATTACATATTTTCAAAAATAAATTTGCATCTTTGAAGAATCACGAAATAGTTTAGTTATAGTCAATTCGATTTTTTTTTTGCATATTAAAATCAAATTAAATAAAATGTTTGTCCGGAATACATTCAAATGAAACAATAGAAATTTATTCAGAATATTAAGCTAAGTGTACTAACTTACTTTTTGATAGAAATATAGAAATATTTAACAAAATTTAACTTTTTTTTTTTAGTAATTACTAACGAAAATATTATTAGATAAACATTTAGATAGATAGATACTATTATAGCGCTTATAACACTTTTGCAAATTGAAAACAAAACTTATTTTTATAAATGAAAATATTTACTTAAAAATATTCTTTTTTTCGTAGGACTTTATTCAATATTCAGTAAGGTAAGCAATGTCATTTTGTTTATTATATTTAAAAACAATAATTAGATTCATAAATTATTAATATCAATATAATAATATTAATCTAACACACTAAAAATTAAAGTAATTTTTTATTATTATTATTTTCGCATTAATTCCGTTAATTGCAATCTTTAAATTTTGTTCATGATCGATTCACATACGCTGTATATTCTATATTATAAGAATAAGTGATTATTAATCTATTTTAAGATAAATAGATTATTTAAATGCACAAGATTTTAGTTTTAATTATATAAAAGTAAATATTTTAGTTAAAAATTCTAATGAAAATGATAACCAATCTTCAAGTGAATTGACTTCCCAATTTTATTAAAATTATAATATTTTTTTAAATAAAGCAACTGATATTTATTTATTTTTTTAAGTTTCTGAAGAAATAAGCATAGAAATGCCACGCGAATAGTTATTATGATTAAGTATTAAATTATTAAATCTTTACTTAATGAAAATACTTTCTACAATTTATTTTATTAACTTTTAATAATAATATTTATATCAATATAATTTTATCTAAACTATTTTCATGATCTGGGTTAGGTGCCTAGCCTATCATGTAAAATCAACTCTGAAAAAAATTACAATCATTTGACTTTAGTCTCTCTTTCCTTTTTGCATTATTTAAACTTTATGCCAAGAATTTACAATTCAAAAGTGTTAATTTGGGCAAAGATTAGGAAAAGGTTAATTTCTTTCGAAATTAGAGAACAGAATGTAAAATAAAGGTTAAAAGAAGATAAGTCAGGGGCAAGAACGAGTATTTTTAGTAAAAATTAAAGAATAAAGTGTCATATTAAATATTTATTTATAATTATGAAATAATAGAAAATGAAATGTATAAGCTAATGTGAAAATGAAAGACTCTCTTCAAAAGAAAGAATTTCTTCATCGTAAATATCTATTTTGAAAATTTTAATCTTAGTTGAAAAAGTTATTATTTAATTTTTATTATCATAATTATCAAATTTTAAAAAATTTAGGTTACTTATTGTTTATTTAGAGGAATATGATCGAGAATATGGAGGTAATTTCATTTAAGCAATAAATATTTAATTACTATATTTGAGTTTATTAAATTTCACTTAAAGATTAAGGTAATGTTCAAATTAATTAGTGTAGTAAATAAATTAATTTTAGGAATAAGATCGAGAAAAAATAAATATTATTGTCATAGCTGAGTCATTAAATTATTTCACTTGGGGGTTATTCAAATAATTTATTCAAGTTCAGGTAAATTTTTTAAAGCACAAATGATTAAATAAATAAATTATTTAGTAATTTAATTAATTAAATTGAAATTTATTTAAAAAATAGATTGAAAATTATGAAAAACCCTATAAAATTTATAAATCTTCTAATTCTCTGTTATTATGGTAAATATAATTAATTTCTTTTATTTTTTAAAATAAAAAATTATCTATTAAAAAACCCCCCAAAAAAGAATCGTCAGGGTATTTTTTTTTTTGAATTTTAACATAAACCTTCAAGAATCGGGAAGGTAATACTAATTAAATAAATTATTCTTAGATTCTAATCATTAAATTATAATAAAGATGGATGATGAGTAAGTTCCAATCAAATAACGATTATAATTTGTTATTTGAATTAATTTTAATTTTTATTTATTTTTTTTTTTTATTTTATTTTAATTGTCTTTGACAAAATTTCATTAATGTCCTTTCCTATCAAATAGTCTAATCGATTTGTCTCACAGACTTTCTTTTAGAATAATGATCAATAGCTTTTTAAGAAGCTATTTCCGCCCTAGTTTCTACCTTTGTAAAAATTCTTTTTTTATCAAAATCAGGCATTAGCTTTTGAAACTATATAGTTAAAATCTTGGAAGCAAACAACTTAATACAAAAAATAAACATAGTTAGGTATTTATTCATCTTAATATTTAGTCTAAAATTAAATAATAATAATTGAATTAATCAAAAAAGTGAATTTGAATCTAACATAATATCAATATACATCAGTAAGAACTTGACCAAATGCTGAATTATAATATAATTTTTTTTAACTTTTAAGTTCAAAGTAAAAAGGTTTTAAATATGAATAATAAGTAAGTCTTATTGGTTATGGTGTAGCAAAATCTTGAGTAATTCAATTGATTAGTATTCTTTAAATTATGTAATATTTTTTATTGTGTATTCATTAAATTTTTAATTTCATTTTCATTTTAATTTTAAAGCGGAAGTAATTATTAGTAATATCTATTTTTTTTTTTACGAAAAGAAATTTTTTCTTAAGGAAGAGATCTTTAATAACTTGGTATAATATCCATGATAATCTTCTTCACAAAAAGTAAAGCAAAACAAATTTATTTGAGTTACTGTGAGCATTATTTTATTACATAATAATAAACTTTATATCTTTATTTTTAATATATTATTAAAATAGACGTATCCGATTCCAACACCTATGCAAATAATGAAGTCTAACCATCCACATATATGATATTTCTCCTTACATGGATCATGATCTAGCGGGATTATTAGAAAATCAACAAGTTAAATTTCAGAAGCACAAATAAAATGGTACATTAAGCAATTACTTTTTATCTTTATCAACATAAAATTTTGCACCATGATTTAAAAGGTATTAAAATTATCATTATTTTTTTTTATTATTATTATTTATAATATTTTAAAATATTAAATAATTTATATTAATTTTTTTTTGGATTGTAACCCGATCATGTGAGTATACTTTATTAGTTTAAAACTATATAGAATATGATAAAGATATCTAAACTAAACAATATTTAGGTAATCCCAAATTTAATGTATCTCAATCACCCGTCAAAGGTTTGTGCCTCTAAGTGTAATCTCGGGAGGTGTATTACTACTGTTTCAAGTAGAAGGCCAAATTTATTATATTAGATTATATATTTTTATTTTTATTTTTTTTTGTTATCAAATTTATTAATAGATAATAAAGGAGAAATTGGGGATTTTGGACTTTCCCATCATTTACGAGATAAATCACTTACTGGGTGTGTGGTAACCCGGTGGTATCGCGCACCCGAATTATTATTAAAAGAAAGGAGATATGATACGGCTATCGATATGTGGGCAATTAGATGTGTATTTGGAGAAATGCTAAAAGGAAGTCCTATTCTTCGTGGAAGATCAGATCAAGATCAATTGGATCTTATATTTAAATTATGTGGAACTCCCACCGAAGAAGATTGGCCAGATTAGACATCCATTACTAATGATCAAGTTGTACCGAATAATTAGAAAAGAAAGTAAAAGAGGAATTTGCTTCGATTAGGTAATTAATTTAATTATTTATACGTATTGATTTTCATAATAAAATAATTCTATTAATAATATAAATAATTTTAATTTTAAATAATTTATTATAAATAAAACGGATGCAGTGAACAAACACAAAATCTACTAGAGAAATTATTTGTTTGTAATCCACAAAATCGTTCAACTGCTTTTGCAGCCTTGGACCATGATTATTTCTTTACCGAGCCTTTTCCGGCTGATCCAAAGGAGTAAGTTTTTTAAAAAAATAATTAAACCGCTTTTTTAAAAATTCTTTTTTTTTTGTAATTTAGTCTTCCTGAATACCCAATGAAAACCAAAGAATGAGACAATGATAACAACAACAACAACAATAATAATAACAGCAATAACAATAATAGCAATAACAACAACAACAACACAACAACAATAATAATAATTCATGGCGACATAGAAGTAACATTAAAAATAGCAACAATAAATCATTATCATCATCATTATAATAGTAAACGGAGATCACCCGATAGAGACAATAATAAATAATAACAATACAACAACAATAATAATAATATTCATCCTCACAAACTTCAAAAAATCAAGAACCGATTATACTCATAATGATCATAATAATAGTAATACTAATAGATATTGTTATTGTCGTTGGTTTTTTTTTTATTGTCACTAATAATAAGCATCTATAAATATTCTCAATAGATACAGTATGGATAAAGAAGAAGATGAAAAAGATGTTGCTGATGCCGATAATGTTGACAATGTTGGTGATGATATTATGATGGTGATAATGATCACCCCTAATAATTTTATTCAAAATCTTATTATGCTGAAGAGGAAATATTCTATAATGTTAATAAAGAGAAAGAGGATATTTAGGATCAATTATAGTTGGTGTTTGTATTAGCTATAGAAGAAGGAGAAAAAAAAAGGGAAGAAAGGGAAAAAATAGAAAAAAAATTTTGTCTTCATCATACACTAATAATTGACAAGTATTAGTGTCGTTGGATGTAGTTGCAGTAGTAGTACAGTAGTAGTACTATTCTAGGTGACTTTGAATGAACAAATTATGTTTTTCTATGATTTTTCTGATTCAATAAATAACTCTGCTAATAATTGAGATGTAAGTTTATTAGCATCTAATAATTTTGAAGAACTCATCTTTTTTGAAAACAGATTTATAGATTTAATATTAATTAAATTAAGTCCATAGTATTAAGCAAGTATATTTACCTTTCATGTCATGGTCATTTGTTTTGTTATTTTTAAAGGAACAATTGTGATGTGATTCGTTTTGCACAAAAAATATTATCCATCCAAAATAAGATAAAAGAGATAAAAAAGCAACATTTTTTTTGCTTCAACAGCATTGAACACCTATGAATACCAATTAATTTAATAATACAAAATAATATTAAATAATGTAAATAATATAAATCATATTAAATAACGTAAATACTATATACACAAATAATATAAATTACCACTAAAGATTAAATTAAGATTTCAATAAAATATTATAAGTTTCATTAAAAAAAAGAAAGAAAATTAACAATATACCCATCTTCATGATTTTTTAAAGAAAATGTATAATTATAAATATAAATGTTGTAGAAATACATAAAAAATCCAAAAAATAATAAAATAATAAAATAAATTATTTACCATCATGTCAACAGAGATGACTTGATATAATTTTTTTAATCTAATTTGCCTTAATAAGATTATATTTGATTTGAACAATCAAGAATGAAATCTCATCCAAAACTTTTTGAAATGTTTATTACCTCATCACTATTATCGTCATAATTATAATTATTGCTATAATCAAATTTAATTTAATTCTCAAGCCAGGTATCAATCATATATATCAAGGTTAAGTAAATAATAAGTAAATCGAGTATTGTCTTTTCTAAAGTTTTGATATCTTTGAATTACTGTAAGAGAATTCACTCATCTGCACCACTGTAGAAATGAAAAAATTAAAATCCGCACAATTTTAAATAATAATGTAATAATTATAAAATACAATCATTATACCTTTGTAATTATCCCATTGTTCTAATTAATTCCATTGTCTATTAGTCTAGCTTTCACTGATGAGATGAAATGTGAATAATAACTTCGTTCAAAATTAGTCAGATCGAAAAAGGTAAAGAAAACAAGAAAATTATTTTTTTTTCAGAATGTTATTTAGAATATACATGAAAAAAAAATAATTAATTGGTTATTCCATACGTTAGGCAAAGCAAAAAATAAAAATTATTTTTTTTTAAAAAAAAAAATATCCAACATTTATTTTTTATAAATATTTGGTTAATAAAAATAAATAATTTATAAATAATTATTAAATAACTGTATGTAATTCTTTATGGAATAAAGAGGAGATTTCATTAAAAAAATATTTAGTTGTATTACCTTCATGTCTAGGGGTTTAATGATTACTTTAACCTCTTTAGATCCAAATTTATCTCACCTACCTGTATCCTCTACCACACCTTGATCTGAATTATCATTTCATTCAAGTTCACGTTTTAGACCTTCTAAAAAGATTTTTATAAATGAATAATATCACAAAGTGTTTATCTCTTCGCGAAAATAAAAATTTTAAGGGATATTTAAGAAAAAACACTATTAATTTACGCTGACCTCCACCATCATGACCTCCTCTAGTTCCACTATGACTTCCCCTAATAAATTTATAATAATAATACTTAATGAATGACATTATTATTATTATTATAATTTATCAGATTTTCGAAATTAAAATATTGTTAAGTTTATGCAGTCAATATGATAAGTTCATTTGGAATGATCTAAATCCAATCAATTTACAAATATAAAATTAATTATGCCAGTATCAATAATTCATGTATAAAAATTTCAACAAAAGATCAATGATATATATTGTTTTTTTTTATTCATATCCACAAATGTTTCTTTGTTATTGCATTTTGTGCATAGTATATTAGTTAATCATTAATTAATAATTTAAAAATAAAATAACAATTAAATTGAAAATTATAAAAATGTCTGAGAATCAACTCAAAAGAATTTTTTATAGTAATAAAAATTAAAGAATTAAAAGATGGTTGCCATTAATACAATTAATAAATTTCATACTCACAATACTCGTGATACTCACAATATTGAAACTTATTCTTCAAAAGAAGATATATTTACAGTTAAAAATCATTGCAGCAAATTAATCTTTGAACATTCAGATTCAAAAAATTCAAAAAAATTTTTGATATTATCAATTCATTTATGATCTTTTTGATCTTAAATTAATTTTTTACTATGTTAATTTCAAGTTTTTGTTATCCTCATATTTAAAATGGAAAGAAAGGTTATAAAGTAAAAGTACAAACCAATCCTTGAGCTCATCATGTAGAATCATCACACTTCTTTTATTAAAAATTTCACCACCACAAAAAAAGAATCATAGAAAATAATGTAAATAACAGTAAACAAATACATTAAATATATTTTCATTTTATTAACAATTTTAATAAATCATGATATATTTATAATTCTAAAAAATGAAAATAAAAAAAAAAAATAATAAAATAAATAATAATAAAAAATAAAAAAAATAAAAGTAAAAAATAAAAAAATAAAATAAAAAATAATAAAAAGTAAAAAAGAAAAAATATCTAATTTAACCACATAAACAATAACTAAATACCAAAATTCATTACGTAAATTCATCAATTAGTTAATTCATAATTTAAAATCAAATGATTAATTCATACCATAAAAATTTCCTTTCATCCAATAACTGACCGTCTTATTAAATTGATTAGATCAATTAATTAAATAATTAATAATAAATAAAAATAAATAAGAATAAGAATTAATAAATATATAATAAAATAATATTATCCCATAACAACATCCTACCAACACTTATTCCCCACTCTCACCCACAAATACCTTTCCATACATTATACAGGATGTCACCTTGAAAGTGAAGTAATATATCACACATTTCTAATAATAAGAAACATTAAATTAATCTCTATCAAATAATATAAATATATAATATATAATATATAAATATATATTATTACCATATAATTGACCGAAATTCACAATTCTATTTTATCAATTGATAATATTTCCCCTCCTCTCCTCCTTTAGCAAATTTGTTGTTAAGAAAATTATCATTCTCACCAATAATCCTAATGATTAATGCTAAAAAGAATCCAATATCAAAATTAAAACTGCAAAATTTTACACCTAAATACAGTACATTTCAATTATATTTCATGTAAAGAGATTTTTTATCTTCCGGTGATTAAGAAGAAGATTGTTGCATCAGATTCGACTGATAAAAGAAAGAATTAACTTGTGCCATATTCATTAAATCGATTCATTATATCAATTCATCAGTTTCACCTCTATAAAATTAAAATATATAAATTTTAGAAATATTACTATAATTATACCCACTTATACCCTAATATACTCTACAATACTTCGATTAACATTATCATCTATATACAGGGTTAAATGCAATACTTATCCACAAAATTGAAAAATGTATTTCAAACATTATGATATTTAACTATCATGACATTGTGACACAAGATAACACATATGACAAAATACAATAGATGTTTACACATTCAATTGCTAATTCAGCAACCAATGTAAAAAAAATTTTACAAATTTAAAATTAAATAATTTGGATGTATTCTATATATATAATCTAAGGGATGGACAAATTTTTTTGAATTTTCAAAATTTGTTTCTGTGAAGTTATTGATATTGAAAGTCCAAAAAAGACAAAGTTTTCTTTAAAATTATAATTTTTGCAAATTTTAAATTACTAAACCAATTTAAAAATATTCTAAATTTTAAAGACAATTTTTTTATTCAAATATGTTAATTTATATTCCAAAGTATGTATAAATAATTTGAGACATCTA